CCTTTAGACATAATCCAATGACAGACCAATATTGAAAGTAAGCAATTGCCTGAAGTCCATTCCAATTCACAGCATCCAATATGTCGACTATAAAATAATAAAGTGTTCCTAGAAATATTAGGAGAAACACCATTATTTAATTACCATAAGGCCTTCCGGGACAGAAATAAAACATGATTTAGGTGGATGAGCAGTGGGTACGGGGGCAGAGCGGGATGGAGGCAGATTATACAGATGAAACAGGAAATGCTAGTGGGAAAAGGCAGCAGATTGCAGATGAGCCAGTACAATGATAGATGGAATGCGAAAACAAAATAAAATCATGAAGAAGGAGACGTGGATCCTATAACGCTACTTTGTAGTGTTGAGGCTGAAACAGTAGCATAGTCAGAAAGGAAGTCTGACACTTCAGAGATGAAGTAAGGCTTTTCAAAGCCAACATGGAGAGAAGTCCAAACTCTAGTCCCTACTCCCATGAGATAGCATACTTCTCCTGAATCGGATTTGCCCAGCAGCTGGTTTGATTGTGAAAGGCCGTGTTCCTTAGAGTGGTTTTTGACTTGGGTGGCCAGCAACAGAAGGGCAGTCAGAGAGCCAAAACCTTGTGACAGCCTGGTTAACAACACACTAAGACATCCTCTGTGGGAAGATCTATGCTTAGATCCTGTCCTTGGTCACTTCTCACTGTAAACATGAGAGGTAGGTTTCTCCAGCTCACAATAGCCTGATCATTAGCTCTCTGGTATTACTGGGAAAAGGGCTCAAATTCGCCACCTAAGACTTCAGACCATCTAGTAGTTCCTTAGTTACTTATTTTCTGATTAAAAATAAACTAAGTATATTTAATTTGAAATAATTTAAGCAACTTTAATGAGATTAATTAAATACATATAAAGAATCGATCATAAGTATTGGATACTAATTTTAAGTGATACAACGAAAGTCAGTTAACACATCCCCCAGAGGGTGCCAGCTAAGTTCTCCTAAGACCCAGAGGATGATTGATTACTCTCAAAAGTCTCCACTGGGGTCAGCTGGTGGTGGTCCACCTTCTAGTGGCCGTGTGACCCTGACAGTTGGGAAGGGTGCAGAGCACAGGGACAGGGCAAAAAGAAACTCTGCCTTGGAAATCATTTCTCTGCTCATAAGGCCAACCCCAGGAAACTGTCCCCTGCCCATGGCACATCAGGGGTTCACTCAAACTGCCCCAAATCCTGTAGTGACGCAAAAACCAGGGGACGACGCCATCCTAGCTAGCATGGGATCCATTTAGTAACTCAAGCACTTGAGATGAGCTCAGTGAGGCCTGGCAGGTAAATATTCAGTTTGAAAGACAGAGCTTATTTCAAGGGACAAAGACTGTGACGTCAACTTGGCAGCTAGGGAAATACTGCCGTCCAGACTCTGAACAGGGCAAACCCTACTCAGAGTCTTTCCGGTGGGCAGAAGCATTGCTGAAAAGCAGGAAGGGTAGTGCAAAGTAAGTAGATGGAGAGCATGCCCGCTGCCATTCTGCTGGGCATCGACGCAGCGGAAATACCTGAACAGCCAGGCAGTAGGACAGGGACGCCTAGGGATGGGAAAGAACGCAGTGTTTGCAAGAAGAGACATCGATCTTCCGAAAACCTGAATGCTGTGTGTCCGCCGGGAATTCTGCCCCGGAAACCTGGCCCTTTTCTGCAGAGGGGCTGAGCGCGCGTTCCCTGCAGGATGTGGAGGCAGTGGCCAGGCCTCCTCTCAGCTTTCTCTAATCTAGGCCTTGGAGTCCCACCTCCCATCTGTCTGAGAACTGACAACACCAGAGCACTTTCCTCCTCCTCCTGAAAGTCACGCCTGTGGTCAACTCCCGATCCACCCGTCAGCAGAGACCTTCCCACCGCTGCTCACAGGCAGCTGTGGGCACGGGGGCAGTTGTTTCTGTCCTTCGATTTAAGCTGTGTGCATTTCTTTGATGCCTTAAGCTCTGGAAAAATGTTTTATCCTTGTGTGTCACCGAAGCAAATAAAACTGGGGGTGGGGGGGATGAAGCCAAAGTGAAGTGCAGCAAGGGCCCCAAGAGGGACGCTGCAGTGACCGCGGGAAGGAAAGTGAGGGAAGAGCGGCCTGGTGGGTGACTAAAAAGTGGAGGGAAAACACAGAGTTTGCCCTCACTGTAGACCAGAAAGAGTTCTGAATAAATCAAATTAAAATGGAAAAGAAAGGGGAAAAAATACAGCTGGGGGCGGGGTGAATGTCTGTACAATCTCAGATTCAAAAAAATCTTTTCCACATGTAAAATTAATGAAAGAAACTCTAAAACAAGCTGTTAATAATGCTTATTTGGACAAAAATACACAATGTGATATCCACAGCTTCGTGGATAAAATTTGAAGTTTACCTTTTCAGTAAAATGGCAGGTAGGAAAGAGATATTTTTTCTTTCATCATATATATATATATATATATATATATATATATATATATATGGTTATAATTTAATTATGCCATTTCTCCCTTCCTTCGGGAAAAATGATCTTTAACCATAGTGGACAGTAAAACATAAAGAATTCATGGAACACATATTTTAACTAAAATATTATTACACATACACATTTTAATGATAGAACCATGTTTAGTCAAACTAAAATTGAAAAGCTGAACTTTGCAAACGGATAGTACACTCTAACCCTGCGCATTACAAAGTTGAAAATAGGAATAAAGTTACATAATTCATAGCCTTCGGTCTCAACATTCCACATTAAAAGTACTCCTCAAAAACATAGTCATGTTTTAAAACATACGTTTTCAAGGACGTCCTTTACATTGTTTTTAAAACTGAAATACCGGAAGCAGTTTCAGCACTACAAATAGAACAGCTAGCTGAATTTGTGATGATATACCTCAGCTCTCAAAAGTGACAGGCTCGACGTGGTCCAGGAAATGCTCTGGTGGAGTGCTAAGTGGATGGGATGCAGCAGAAGGAAACATCCTGTGTGGGGTAAAAGTCCAGAGCCTTCTACAGGAAGACCAGACAGCAGCCTGTAATAGCCGTCCCTCCAGCACAGGGACAGCCACCTCTCTGTCTGTTCTTTAGACACAACATCTCCCAAGCTTTCTGTGATGAAGCTGTGCAGATTTTTAGCACTATAAGACAAAATAGAGCGCTTAAAATTATTTCACTTAATATCGGCATGGGTGCAACAGATTGAAACACTCAAACACGGTGAGGACAATAACCCTGAAATCACTCAAGGTCACAGCTGTCCCTTCCAGGACCCTGTGTCTGCCCTTTGAAGCAGTAATTTTATTAAAAATATTCAAAAAGTAATTTCTCTACCTAAAAGTACAAGGAAACTGGGAAGAAAAACTGTTACATTTGATTGTGCAAAAATATAATGCTTTTTTAAAAACACATAGCTATCATTGCAAGCTAGAATGTCATCTTCTCAGACAAAATAGTGTGTGGGAAAATAGTTTTAGAAATGCATGCAATACTTTATAATAATAGGAAGACGTGTAACAACAAATACTTCTATTCTATAAGGATACATTTACAAACATATGTTAGGAATGTACTAATATGAATAAATTGCGTGTATGCTTTTTTGGACACATTCATCATAGCAGAATCTTAAAAACATCTAAGGGTATGTCAGTTCCACAGCTATGGCCATTGACCACATGTGATATGCAGTAGTATTGACATAAAGTGTCTCAGAGAAGAAAATCTCAAGTCAAAAAAATAAAACAGAGAAAAGACTCAAAGAAATGTCCAAGTATCTTGGATGTTTCATGTTATGGAAGCTTTACTTAAATCTGCATTGTGGTGTATTTTCCACTGTTTCCTGCGGCATACTTTCATAAATAAAAATGTGCTCATTTTGATCAAAATTTGTATGTACAGAAGGGTTACATTGAATCCTGTTATCACATGTAACTAACAGAAATTAATAAGTATTTAATTTAAATTTTTTTAAGTTAGAAGGATACTGGTTGGTAGAAAAAGAGAAATACTAAATAATTTTAACACAAATTTAAAATTCTAATATAGTTAGAGATTGCAAACTCCAATGATCTTTCAGACCACTCGCATTTATTTCTTGCATCAAGAATTATTTTTATCATGAACATATTGGTCTAATTATTAATTAATAGGCATAATACTAATGCAGCAATTAATAGATATATAGCTTTAACAGCAATTCACAAGAGACAGAGACATAGTTCAGCAGTTAATTGTGTTTTTGCTGCTCTTTCAGAGGATACAAGTCTGTTGCCCAGTGCCTATGTGGGACAGCTCACAACTACATGTTACTCTAAGCCTATGAGGAGCCCATGCCTCTGGCCACTATGGGCACCTCCACCTGAGTGCACATACCCAGACAAATAGACACACAGACACAGACACAGACACAGATACACACACACACACACACACACACACACACACACACACACACACACTAACAGAACAGCAGCACACACTCCCCTCACACTATCTGCAGTAGGAGGGCGGACCTATCTCAGAAAGCTTGTGACGTCCCCTGTAACAGGTAAGGGGTTTGAGCGACTCACCTGTGTACCAGTTTGTTAGGGGCATTCCTCTGAAAAGGACATTGGGATGGAATAACAACTCGCTCACTAAGTGACAAGCTCACTAAGTGATGCTTCTCACTGTCAGCCCTTACTAAGGAAGGACAAGGCTCACCCTTCAGCCCCACAGCAGGGGGGTGTGGAAAAGCGTGATGGAGACCAGCCAAACCCTCAAAAGGAAAGAGCCTGTGAGTGACAGAAGTGGGTGGATGGACAGCTGCTGCTCGCAGGCTCACAACATCTTCTCGCTGCTGAGTTATCTGCAGCCTTGAAAATATTCACAAGATGAGTGAGAAGCTACAGCCCCAACTATTGTCCGAAAACACAAACTATTTTTCATCTGGCCGTGATTCTGGATTCAATGCTGAAGTCACTGAACACCCAGGAACACCAGTGAGAAGGCACAGTCACATAAGAAGGCATTATTTAATGCTTACCTGGCAGCTGAGATACCATGATCCAGAAGGTGGTTTTCCCAGGGTGAAGCTTATCAGTTGTATTCCAGGTATGCTGACCCCTGCAACTTCCCAAACACAGAACATCCGACTGCACAACTTATGGTACTGGGGACTTGTGTTCATGCTTTTCCCTCTTACAAATATTTTCCAAAAGAAAAATACATCATCTAAATCTTCAAAGATAGACCATACCATTTGTACTGAGAACTCACATATCCTGAAAGCAGTCACGCAGTCTGAAGACTTGAACGTCCAACTTTGTGATCCACCAGTCCGTCTCCTGTCCCATCTGTACAATGGGCATAATGACAAAGATTGGAAAATGTGCAGTTTGAAGCTTGAACATAGTAACCCAGGATGACAGCCTTTTGTAAACCACGCAGTGCAGGGTTTTAGAGAGAGCAAATCTGATCAAACCATCCAGCAGTTACCTGCCTGGGACTGTGCACTGGAGAGCTCCATTGTTGCAGCCATCCTGATTCATTTCAAAGTAGAAGGGGACTGTGGATGCATCTTCCGGAGCTGCCCAACGTAAACGAGATTGTCCTTCAGGATCTCACCACCCATAGAGGCAGCACCCCCTGCAAGATCAGCATGAATCTTCAGCTCAGTAGAGGGGTGCACACTGCTTTTGGAAGGTACTCTTTTACCTTCTTAGGATTCTGCAGCCACCTCTGTCCTGAGCCAGAGAACCTCGCCTGAAGTCAGAAGGAAGCTAATTGCTTTTTTATTTAGAGTGGTGGGGAAAACGAGGCGCCACCAAACACCATTGGTGATGGAAGTACCTAAGAGAATGGCTCAAGAAGACTCGTTTGGACATCCGTGTATTGAAAATGAACTTGTGCACAACTCGCACTAAAATACCTGGGAGTTAGGGAAAGGAGAGGAGAAGTCATTCCATCCGCTGACAGTAGTGCGCAGTCACAATTACAGCGGCCTTCTGCCTCATCTTAACATATGAAACCTTTGAGTCTCCTTTTCAGTGACTCACCCTGTGGCTTCTTCATAATCTACACTGAAAATCACAGCACAAGGCCCCCACTGGGCCTTGAAACTAAGAGGAGGGAGCTAGGTATCTCATTAGCAATTAGAATAAGATGGGGGATGATGTACTGTTTCTTCCCGTACCCCCCCCTCCACTTTCCCTCTCTTCCTTCTCCTTCCTTCCCTTGCATTCTTCATCTTGAATTCAATAAATATTTACTCACTATTTACATGCTATGCTTAAGGGAACACAGATATGAAACAGAACTATCGTATTTCTGAATATAACACAAAACCGTAAGAAAGGAGACGCACTGGATTTATTACGTGTCTTTCAGGGGCTTTCAGAAATCCTTTCTGTGGCGTATATCAGGGAAAATATATAAGAGTATAGGGAATAGTGGAATCTGATTCTCTCCCTAAACTGGCAAGAAAAGCAACTGAATTCAGGGCCAGTGTATATTTAAATCCATCAATTCGAAAAACATGTGTTCCCTGGATAATAGGAAATAAAATTAAGGAATGGGTTCAGGAGTTGGTGTACAGTCTATGGGAGTTTAGAAGAACGTATTGCATCCTGTAAATGTTGGTGTGCTCACGGTTCTGGGAAAGCATGCAGGTTTTGCAGCACTGGGGTTTGGACAGGAGTCCTTTCCTCCTCCATGGAGCGCTGCATAGAAGTAGATCCCACCCAAGGCACTCTGGGAGCTACAAGGGTGATGGAGACCTGGTTCTCACCTTCAAGAGGCCTGTAGTCAACAGCTAGAGATGGAGAAGGGAGAGAGGTGCATTCTTCTCCTTCAGAAAAGATGACAAGCCAATGAGACGAGCCAAGCTACACAAGCAAAGTTGGACGGACAGACAGGACTGTTCCTCCTGCCACAGCACTGAGACTGCCTTAGTGGTAAAGATGGCTCCCGGTGAGTATGAGGAGACGAAGTAGGTTTTAAAGGGTGTAGAAGAGGACCTGCGTAAGCACTAGGACTCAGCATACGTGTGAAAAGGTGACCATGGTGGTATATGCTTGCAGTCCCAGTGCTGAGAAGGAAGGAAAAGGAGGATCCTGGGAGCTTGATAGCCAGCCAGATTAACTGAACAGGAGTCTGAGGTTTCAGTTAGAAACCCTGTTTAAAACAAATAAGGTGGATGTTTCCTGAGGAACAATACCAGAAGTTACCATGCTTGGGTATCTGCCCTTCCCCCATATTCATGTACACACACATACACATATGCATACACACACAAAAGAAGGTTTTTTGTTTTTTTGTTTTTTTAAGGAGAAATAAAAGTGGAGAAAAGCAAAGCAAAAGTGAGCTTCAGGAACACTGCAATTCAAAACAAGAGGTGACGAAATGTGAAGAGCTTCCCATGCTCCTGTGGGGCCCAAGCAGGTAGAGCAATGGGAGGTGTCTGGGAGAAGATCCACGAGGCTGAGCATGGCAGCAGGCAGGCGGAGGGTAACTTGGCTGAATGACCAAATCCAGTTTTGCCGGTCACCACTGACCCTTTCTGCATGCTGCTGGTGCAAAGACTGTTCTCGGGTCCAGAGGCAGCAAACGACATTGTTCCGACAGCCCACGGGCTTGTGGGACACACTACTTCACCAGGATGCCATGCTCACGTGTGACATGAGAAAGCCACACGAGGTAGAAAATTCCTGTGCCCTGTATCCATTCTGTCCCCTAGACAAGAGAAGGCCATCTCTCATCAAAAGCTGTTAGCTCCCTGACCTCTTAACCTAGTCACACTTCGGCCACAGTGTCATTTCATGGAACGTCTAGAGCCACAGCTGGTTTTGGCCAGTCCTTGAAAATGGGGTCCTGGAGCTGGGAATGTAGCTCGAGCTGCTAGAATGCTTTCCTGGTATGTGCAATGCCTTGGGCTTTATCCTCAGTGCAGCATTTACTGGATACAATAGTACATGTCTGTAATGAAGAGGTAGAGGCTGGAGGATCAGGAGTTCAAGGTTATTCTTGGCTACATAGTGAGTTCAAAGCCATCCTGAAATAGCTGAGATTTTACTTGCCTCAAAAGTAAAACAATAAAAATAAAAAAAATAATAAGGTAAAATGGAGAAGAACATGGGGTGCTGCTGGGGTTTTCTGTAGTACAACAGAACAGGCACTAGCCAGCCTCTGACTCTCTCTGTGGTCACACCTCTGTCACAGCCACTTGCCACATTTTCTGTGTCTTTTAGAAATGCAGGTCTTGAATGTTTGTCCCCTGACAAACAATAAAGAAGTTAGCACTGTTTCCTCTCACCTGAGAGTTGAATGGGGATCATGTGAGAACTGCAGCAGAAAAAGAAATCCTAAAATTTCAGTTACAGGAAATCTCCGGCCACAGGTCCCAACTCTGAGGCTTGAAAGAAAGAACAAAGTGATACCCACAGTTTTGTTTTGCTTTGAACCCCTGACTAACTGGATCACTAAGGACCAGGGGAGAAAATGGGGAAGGAATATGCCAGTTAGGTATGAAAAGTCACGGGCTGTGATGGGAACAGAGCATTGCCTCACACATTCCTATAGCAACTAAATGGGTAACGTAACAATTATGTTCACAAAAGTTATTTGAAAGAGCTTTCTTAATACCAGATATACCAGCGGGTGAGAAACTGGGACAGATAAACAAAACATTTGTTCTTATAGTTCAGGTTTGATCCGCTATTTGTCTGGGCTCTTGATCCCCCCATTATATACTGAACCCCTCTAAAGAGTAGGGATCCCCCTTTGTCTCTTTGGTGGAATAAAAGCAATGCTTCACCAGCCTTTTCTCCACCCTTTCCTGTCGGGATATCACTTGGAAGAAGTGGAGAATTTGTCCACCAGGCACAACATCAGCAGCGTAAGAAAACTGCCTTGGACAGTATTTTCCAATAATGAGAAATAAAATTAAATAAAAAAAATATAGTCAATGAGGCCGGCTACAGAGCCTCTGTGACTCTGAAGGCTCAGAACGGGAGGTGGCTGGAACTTTACTCTTGTTTAAAACCCCACTTTATGAAAGAAACATGGACTAAATTTATCTTCTCAGATTGGAATGTTTTTATTCAAACTGAACTTAGAAATATTTTTTGAACTTTTTAAAAGCTATTTGGTCTGTATATTTAAAACACTCCTAAAATTCAGTGACTCGGGACACTTACCTCCAGCCTGTCTCTTTTTCTTTTTCTTTCTCCTTTCTTTTTCTTTCTCCCTTCTTTCTCTCATTTCAAGAAATGTGGAAAACATTAACGAAAATTGTGTTGGTCTGTACAATTTTATTCTGTTAAAGACAGGTTTTATGATACATTTAGCCTTTTAAATGCCACTAATAGTCTCTGGGGACACATGGTTTTTCCTCTAGTGCAACAATTAAGTCCATTTCAATGCTATTTGGATAAGTTGAAACAATTCGGTCACTGTGTGCCTGCTCTCAGGTACCCACAGCAAACCCAGAGGGGACACCCAGCCTTACCTGACTAATGAAGTTTTACCAGCTTCAGACATGTACCCAAGGATTTGACTTTTCCGCATTCTTCTTGCTTATTTTCCCCTCATTTCTTACAGAAGGGAGTAATGAGACCTTCCACACCGCGTGCTGGTCAGAAGAGTGACTTGGTAATGAACGTGATTAATCACAATTGCTCTCTTTCTCCTCCCTGTCTGGAGTTTGAAATATGTTTCCCACTAGAACCCAGCAAGGCTTCTTGGATTTATTTATTTTATTTCTTCAATCAAGTGAGAATAAAGATGTGGCGGGGGGGGGGGGATGTGCTACACGTGTGCATTCTGCTTTTTGGGTGAAAGTGTATTTTGGTAGTTGGAAATCCGTTCACAAAGCATATTTGCATGTTGCTCAATTATGAAGCTCAATTATAATCAAATTATCTCTGACTGAGGCATAAGGATGTCAGAGGAAGTAATTTTGTGAATTCCAGATCCGTACACGTAGCTCATACTTTTAACTTAAAGTTTAGTCACTTGGAGAGAAGTAGGAGTCCAGGAAAGTGGCTGGTTCAGCACCAAGTCCCCAAGAAACAATTACTCCCTTCCCTCGAACATGTGATATGCTGAATTGGCTCATTAGAAAAAAAATTCTTTCCTTCTTTCTTCCTTCCTTTCTTTCTTTCTTTTTTCCTTCCTTCCTCCCTCCCTCCCTCCCTCTCTCT